AAGGCTATATCGATGGAAATGCTCATCTCCACGCCAACCATCTTCTGTAATGCCTCATTAACATACAAAGATCTGTTTTGAAAATAAATAATAATTATACCATTATACCATTCATTCCAAGTGCCAGTAAATCAAAATATGTCTTAGAATACTCTGGGTTAATTTACCAACCTGTACACCTTGCACTCGTCAATTTGAACTAAGAATTCTTTCCTAGCTCTGTCACTGCTGTCAGCGCCAACAACAAAACTGGCTTTGAACAGATTTGGTAAATGGTACTTCTTCTGGTAATATGATGTCTTCATTAGCTCAAACTTCATTAATTTGGCTTCACCATCAATTTCATCAGCCAGACTTCTTTCCTTATACTAAATACAAGGTATAAAAAATATGGCATAATTAAATTTATATCGTTCACCATTGTATGGAAAATCCAATAAAGTTACAGTCAGTTTGAATTATAGTTGTTGTTGGTTGTCATACATTTAAGCCACTCAGAAAGGATAGTGGAATAAATGGGGGACCACAAAACACTTTTTAAGGTATTCTTTAGATTGGTTAGGATCTGCTCACTGTAAATTTTTTTAAGCTTAAGCTCCGCAAAATGATTCTCTGCCAGCTGTTTTACATGATTTAACGAACAAACGTAGGCGTAGAACTCTCTGAAACTCCCCTTCCCATATTCCACGAACTTTACTTCCTCATTCAAATAAGGGAAACCGTTTTCTCTTCGGCTACCAACAAGAAGACTGAAAATGGTATCAATGTTGAGACACGTGAGGATTTTCTGTACGTTTGACAAGCATTTCTCATGGCGTAGTTTCAAGGAAGCTGAGAGGTCCACTCCCAACTGCTGAAGATCATTTTCAACATCCTTCAGATCGCGTGCTTCCCAGAGCACGGTTTCTAACCTGTCCTGTGATTCAGTGGAACTAACACTTGTTTCTTTAACTAACCAACCGTCAAACTAAGATTTGTGCAGCTTTCAGGGGGCGATTCTATAGAGAGATAAACAAAAGCATCCAAGTCCGCCTCAACCTTAGGATACCAGGTATCAGCTTTCCAAATAGGTACCTGCAGACCTTGCAAGTCGACAAGGTACGTTACAACCGGGCCGAGGACATCAACACAACCGCATAAATCGGCAACAAAATCTTGGCCACACATTTCCCAGGTTTTCAAATCAAACGTGGCATCGGTTTGGTGCAGTTCGGTGAAGTTGCAATGTAAACATGAAGCGACGAAATTAACTTCTTAAATTCATGGAGTTGTGAAGTCGAAAATCTGGTAGCGCAAGTACGACTGGTCAACTGAAAACTACTCTCCATTTCGTTTGCTTTATTTCGCGCTTCTGCTAGTGATTTCCCTCTCTGGAATATCTTGTGAATTGTACAACTTCTATTGATCAATCGTTTAACGAAGGCCTTAGACTTTCCCAATTTTCCTTCCATGACATCTTCAATAGACAAGTTAACCCAATCTGGCGGGTCCCAAATAACGTAGAAAAATGGAGACGATGGTTTTTGTAGAAGATTCTTAAGTTTAACAGCAAAGCCTTGAAATCATATGAATATCACATGAATGCGAAATTTATCATATGTTACATTAAAGCATACGTTACACGAATGCGAAATTTCATGTACTGTTTGACATACCTTTTGCTTGATATTGTCCGTCGAGTACGCTCCCTTGCCATGAGGTGCTCAAAATTTTCCCCAAATTTGGATGTGCTCTTCTTATTGTATCGTACATATTCTGAGCCAGTTCAGGGGCACATGCTCCTGTGACGCTATCTAAATCATCTTCGCAGCCAACGTAAACAGCAGGTGCTTGTACAGCAATGGCTTTTTTATACCTATTTACAACAGTGGTTATTATAACGCCTTGGTTAATAACACGGTGAATGGTTGACTTGTCTGCTAGAGCGCAGAAGTGAGGGGGCAACAGGGTGTTTTGAAGTGGAGTTAACATGTATTTTTCTATCTCCTTGTCCAAATATACTTCCGTTGCCCTTAGGATCTCGTTAAACTGCTTATAACTGTGCCCGATTTCCCCCATATCGGATCCAGTTGCAATATGGGCTGCTATTTGAGTTTCAAAATGAATTGCAGCACATTTCGATTTTAAAACTGACAGTGCAACTCTCACAATATTCTTTGTCACATTTAACCCTCTACTTTCCAGTCTATTTCTTGAAAGTTTGACCTAAAAATGGGAAAATACGTCACAGACATATCCTAATACTAGGAAGCAGAAACTACATGTGGAGAAATTGTTCACTTAGAGCAAAAACAAAAAAAAATGTGAGCATGCAGTACCTTTAATGCTTCAGCATGTGTTTTTGCATTATCACCAACACATCCAAGATGATTTTTGATTCTGTTCTTCAAACGATACCAGTAATCATTTTTGCCTTCAACAATTTGTGCTACAAATTCCGATTCTAAGAATAGGCCACTTGATATATTACTACCATATCTAAAATGAAAAGCATTCTCTAACACACATTTTACATTGTTTAATTGGGAAGTCCTGTTGTGTACTGTTGCCATTTCCCTTGAAATCGAGGAAACGGTATAAACATCGTGAATAGTAAGCTTATATACATACTTCTTTATATGTTTTGCAGAAGCTTCTCCATGATCATCTGTTTCCAGTACTAGAGGATCGCACTTCCTCAAACCATTGTCATGTGAACAAAGATAGTCAAAGCAAACCTGGCACCTCACACACCCCTTTTGTCCATTAGAGATAGCACCTGCAAAGAATCGTACACTTGGAACCTTTGTTGTCAGATCAATAATGTTCTCCAGCTTACTCCAATCAACATCACTAAATTGGCTACCCTTTGACTGTTCTTGCAACATAGTTGACATTTCTGGAATTTCAAGTTTCTTGGACTCTTCTACCTTTGTAGACAACTTATTTAACATGAGAATTACTTGGTCCATTTTGGCCCCTAAGGAACTGGTTTCTGAATTGGTGGCCTTTCTCTCTTCCAAGCTGTACAAAATTCCTTTGTCTGACTGTACTTCTGATTGCATTTTCTTGTTCTCATCTACTTCTGAGTAACCCAAATCACTAAGTGAATGTCTATGAGACATTGGTTTCAATTGATCTTCCTGTCATTTTCCCCTTGTAGATGCCTTTGTGTATGCAATCATTGCTTCTTTAGCACATACTGCATCCGTACTTACAAACTGAATGAGATTACCATCTATGCCATCATGTGCAGTGGAATTATGCCGGTCCTTTGCTTGTTTATCACTACGTGACAAGTAGTACTTGAAGGGAGACATAGTTTTGTCAGAACTAAAATGGATTTGAAAAAAAATATAGCACTACCAGGTATAAAAATTCAACACTAATTTTGATCAATTTTCTCTAAAACTTTCAAAAAGTAGTCTTGGAAAATAATGCTAGAATTTCAATAGTACTTACTTGAAACAGGATAAGCATATGCATCGTTGTTTTGAAGGTGGTTTTGGTAAATATTTCTTTTTCCTGTGAAGTTCCTGTGAAGGTACCAGTGACAAAGATCTTTTCTTGCTAGTTGATGTTCTTTGAAAAAAGTTAAGCATATTGTATTGGCGCTTATTTGTTGGCTTCTCCAATGTTACATCCTGTGTCAGTTCCAGCTCTTTATTCTTGGCTGTAACATAGAATTAATTAATTCACTTCAAAGGCATAATGCAGGATACTGCAATAAACATTATGAAAAATAAAAATAACAAAACTGCAAGATATTTTAATAGGTTACCTTGGCATCCACTGCAAAACACAGATGCCCCATACCCTTCATTAGGTCCTGGTTTACTGCATGGTTCTATGCTGTGGCATGGTTTTGAGCATGAATAACAGTAATGACTTCCATTGTAATCCTCATTACATGAAACACAGATTTGTTCTGTTCAAATTAATAAATATTGTCAATGTCGCATTGGGCCATTAGCCAATCGCCATTTGTCAAATAATGACAAATAATGTCAATTGACAAGTATAGCCCAACAGGCAACAACGTTTCTACGAGTCCAACAATAGTAACAACATAACATGATAACAACAATCACAAGTCAGTCAAGTCACAACATTACATTAATAGAAAGGAGCAGTGCCAGCGCGCGCATCTTTTCTGCGCATAACAAAAACGTAATCGGAAATTGTCGGAAATGACTCGGCAAGGTGTTAGGAGCGATATCGATTATCGAATATCGATCTGAGAAGCAAACACTCAAACAGAGCAAACAAGATTCGAGAATGGTAGGTAAAAATTTGCATTTATTTGCATATATGTATATTGTATAGCCTAATTGTTGAGTTTATTTTGTTCTCGTTTCTATGTAGACAAGCCGTTGTGATTGCAAGAGTTCTTGCAGTGTTAAAAGGAAAGATAATGGGAATCGAGGTTGCCCTTGCAAAGGGAATAATGTGACTTGTTCAGAAGAATGCAAATGCGGTACTCGAAAAACACCATGCAGGAATAGGGTAAGTCTGTTACTCCAATGATAGATTTCGTTGAAATGATGGTACTAACCTAATAAAGCCTTAAATTGACGATTTTTTTATAGACAATGGCAGGAGATTTGGAAAGGGAGCGAGACGATAGAGGCAACGCAAGACAGGCAAGCGGAAAAGACCAAGGAACAAAGAAGCAAAGCAAAGCAGATCGAAAGGTTTTCGTCTCACTCACAAGCCAGCTGAATCCGAGGAGACGCAGAGGAGAAGGAACACAAAGACGTTAAGGTATTTTAAAGCGTATATTGGACTTATTGGTTTAAACTTTACACTCAAATGTTTGTAATAGTGTTTGTCTGAAATAATTTAAAATGAAACTTTATTAATATTGGATGGGCATTATACCAGACATCTCCGAGTCCAGTTGTATACCTAGATATATTTCCCTGATAATTTTCATGCTATTATAGGATTTCATTGGGACATTAGACGATGCTTTGGTCAGAAAGCTGGCTATTCGAAGTTTACGGAGAGGGATAGGAAGTATGGATTACATACACAGCTTGATTGTTATGGAGGATGACCTTGACGAAAACAATGACCTTGGGGAGTTTTCAACAGAAGAACCAGCTACTCAAGGACCCAGTGACTTGGAAAACCAGGAGCCAGAAGATGATCCTATGGTGGATAGTGTAGCAGATTGGTGTGTTTGTGGCAAATGTCGTCCTATGCCACAAGAAATTGAGAATAAGTGTTGCAATTTGAGAAAATGTATTACACTGTCTTCTCGATTTACAAAGTTGTGCCTGGACCCTGATGTGCTAGAGTTGTGCATCAGGAATACAAGTGACATCAGGAATGACCGGGAAGATAATAGCACCAGGGCTTTTCGCAAAGCTGCTTATCGACAATTTATTCTTGCCCGTCATGGTCATCTTGGGAAAGGAAACAGACGAGTGTGCCCATCATGTGTCGTGCTGAAAATAAGGGAACGTTTTCCTTCTGTCACAGGGGTTTATATGGGGTATAAGGAACACTAGCAATATAAACTATGTAATATGCACAGCACATTTCTACTTATATTAAACATTGGTACGGTAAATTATTTTCTTTCAATCAATGATGAATTTACTCAGTATCAATTGAAATTGGAGAGGAATTGTTTTATGTAAATCAGTACCCAATTATAAATATGATGGTGTACCTGGAAGTTCTGGCCGAGCTAGCAAGTTATTTCATTTCTATGATTTTTCAAACCCATATAAATTTAAACATCCTTACAGCTGGTCCCTGTATCCTACACCATCATCCCTGTATCCTACACATCCATTTTGTTGACTTTTTAATGCACAATTCATGGAAACATTTTGGTATAAAAAGTGACACCACATGGAAAACAATTATGCATGTTTTAATTCTGAAGAATAAAAAAATATTTACAGTTATATACAATGCATGTATTTCTACTTTTGAGTAAATCTACTCCTCCGGGCAGAAATTTCCCTTGTAGGAGGTGGTGGGATATGTGCAATTGTTGGTGAAATAAGAGCAGGGTCACTCAAATTCAGATCGACAACCCGGTCAACACTGTCAGGATCCATTTCCCGTCTCCTTAGGATGTGTGAAATTATGACTGGAACATACTCATAACCCTTCTTGCAATTAACTTTCTTGTTATCCCACTGCCTTGTTCTGGGATTATATTTCCTGGTTACCATTCCCTCGCCAGATGTGGTCTTTTTCTGTGGAAGGTTGACATGGTAATTCCAGTCAATGGCTGTGAGTTGCCGTCTTGCTTTATATGCTGGATACCTAGAAATTTCCATTTTGAAACAGATTATTAACACTTAGCAATAAATTTTAGTTGTGAACAACAAAACTACCTACACCAAGCAAAATAATTATTCTTACTTGCTCAGGTTAGCCCTAACAATAACTCTGCCAAACGGGCAAGCAAAATTATGCACAATGCAATTGGTTGGCAATCGGAAAAGCTGTTTAGAAGATGTGTAGGACTACTACAAAAACTTACTTGAAAGGTGTCCGTTTAGGAGTGTACACCAACCCAAGACTGTTCGCACACTCAATACCTCCAGTATGCCTACAGCATTATAATAAACATTTATCTCTTCTGTATTTTTTCAATGAAAGTAAATTATCATGTTAGTAATAAAAGCAATCCTAGCTAAAAACAATGTACATATGTTACTTGAATCGTGTATAATACTTGAAGCTGGCAAGTAGTTCCGGATTCAGGACAATTTTTTGCAACTCCATAAAGTCTTTGTCTCTACGATCAAACCATGGAAGACTTTCGTCATGGTTGTAATCATCATCATCATGATCGCATTGACCCCCCAACCACTGGTGTACATTACAAATATGATGGAGCAATCCAATCCATATATCCTAAACAAATGTTCAATTCAATATTCTATTGACAGAATACATAAAACTCATTAGAAAAACTTCTTGCACTGTAGAAAGTAAATGACACATTGACTGACAGAAACATCTATAGTAATAACTTCAGGAATGAATGTGGTGTAGAGGGAATTGTGCAATGTGTATTAGACAAAGTGGAATAACCAGGTGAATTTAAGTTGGTAATTCACATGAAAAACCATTGAATAAATACCTTCATTCGCTTTAATGCTTCATCATCAGAGGTGGTACTATCGCGACACGTACTGGAGCAATACCAGAAATGTCGGACTATATGACTTGACCAGTCTTTAATTTTGTGCATGGATTTTGGTTTACTTAACTAAAATTTACACCACATTGCCATAAGTCAAAGTCATAGCACTCTGCCTGTCCAAACAAGTTTTTTACATTTTACAGTATTCGGAAAAATTACAAACCTTAGCCAGAGATTTTTTTATGCTCTTTGACTTATGCCAAACATCCAAGCTATGCACTATGTTTCCATATTTGGATTCTGTAATGAAAAAAATTCATCATTAAACAAATATACGTAAGCATAAATACAGAACCACAGAGAAGCATGGCAATGTCATCAAACAACATCTAATTCATATAAAGCTCACCAAGTAATGCCTTCACAGATGTGGATGCATCAGTCACTAACTCAACCACATCAATTTCTTGTGTTAGCCGATCTAGACTTCGTCGTACCGCCTCTTTTTCCATATTGGTGGAGATGAGACCAACATGCCTCTTATCCAAGACTTCAATGTCAATAATGTAATTTGAATCTACCTCCACCATGAAGTAGCAAAGATTCTTGGCATTGAAGCCTGGCGAGTCACATTGGCCATCACCACCAATAACAACTTCTTTTCCAGAATACTCCTTCAGGATATTGCTTCTCATGTCACTCCACCAACGGTTTATCTCTGGTATTAAGTATAGTCGCTGGTATCTGTAATATGTTGACTTGGACAGAAACTCTAAATTCAAGAAACTTGCCATCCGTTCCACTTTGGCATAATTACTACCAGATAATATCAGCGATGCAGCTGTCTGAAGATCGTTGACATAAATATCATTGACTTGGTGGGAGGAAGAGAATTTGTATCTGTGACCAGAGGAACATTCACAGTTCACAATTAGTGTAACGCCAACAAGGTGATGTCTGATGTTGGGTAAGGCAGTACATCCAGGGGTCTGGCATCTAGCTCGAAATACTTCAAGATGTAAATTCAGAGAGCAGACAAATTTTCTTTCCTGAACCATGTTGTACTCTTCTTTCATTCCATATACTCTATCCCCTCTGCTAAACTTCTGATGTGGACCAAAAGCGAGTGGAGTGGCATTGGGTGACTGTCGTCCAGCACTAATGTCTCTTTGCTCTATAGGATCTACACTGATTTGCAGTGAATCATCACCATCTGACTGTTCTTGCTCATCATCAGACATTGAGAAAAGGTCATCATCATCAGTCATATCACCTTCAGAGTCCTCATCACTACAATCTCTTATAGAGCTACAGTAAAAGCAAAACAAATAGTTATGCTGTAATGTACCTAAATCCAAGGATTTTCTCTACTGACTATACTTCATGCATATATGTGACAAAGTGTGGTTTGAACACACACACAAGCTCCTCAAAACACTTTGATTAATTCTAACAAGGCTATAAAATTATATATTCACATGATTCAGTATGTTATTTCTGGACATATTCAGTGAAGATTGAAAACTGTCCAATTTACAATTTGTAAACAAACTCAGTATGATATGCTTGTAACATTGAAAATTTCTTACTCTGAATAACTTTGCCTTTCATCATTCAAATCTTCAAGTGCTGACTTGGTAAGCTCATCTAAGCTAAAAAGGAATTACACATATATATCAAAGCAATTCCATTGTATAGCCTCATTGCTAAAATGGATGTTAAATCATACCTTGCTAAAATAGAGACAGTTGATATAAAACATAAACATATTTATATACCTGATATCCTCTTCTAGACTTGACAAACTACACTCATCATTTGATTCCTCATCATCAGTGAATAGCGACACATTTGTTTTATTGAGGTCAACAGAACTAGAGCAAATTCAAATAGCAATTCCCAATCAATTGTTGACACACACATACATACACACATATCCATTTACTAACTATATCCATATATAAACTATATCCATTCACCATTAAGCAACACAATTTGATATCTATTTATTATCTAACTAATCTATAACATTTCACATGATTAATCATATAGTATTCTATTATTATTATTTATTATTATTCTATTGTTTGAATATCTATTTATATTTTATGTTTTATACTGTATTCCAATTATTATGAGAGGTTACATCCCATATAAATCAGTACCTCTCAACAACACTTAAATTTATATCTCCAGTAGTTTCTGTTTTCGAAATCTCATCTGCCTGATGTTGAAATATGGGAGATACCGATGGTGAACATGTTGGGAGGCATTCTGTAGTCTTCAGAGGGGTGGATGTTTCCAGACCTAAAACAATTCACCTTCATCAGGCATATATTTTTCACTGTATAATATATAAATATACCAATTTGTCAAAATGCCAACAAGAATGAGGGCTAAAGAGACAATAAGGCCAAAATTTTAAGCGACAAGGGTCATATTACTGTGTGATTGCAACTTCCAGACAGCTGGACATTAACAAGGAATGTAGGCCATGTGCTCATGTATCAAAGCATATACAGAAATGGAATTTATAATATCATTGAGTAAATTCGAAGCTTTTCTAAATTGTTTAGCGTTTTGCGCTTGTTTACAATTTTTCTTGAATTCATTAAATATTAATACCTTGAGTATAAACATTTACATCTTGTGATTCCTGTCGCTTGCCTTCGCTCAACTTCTGGCCCTTCGACCTTTCGATATCCGATCTAAAATAGTTAAATTACACCAATTTGAACACTTCCATACCAACATCTAACCCATTTAACCCAGATGAAACACATAAAACACATTAATCATACCTTCTTCGATACTCTAAAGAGAGCAGATGCGCGGCGAAATCGTTGTCGCTACACGACTTGTATCCAGCCGCGATTTTTGCCTCATTCCACGTTTTAAACATGTTGGCAGACAAGTATATTTTGTTATGTTCCCTATTCCAAGCTTTTTTTCTTTCATTTTCACTAGAATACTTTCTTTTTCGCCCTGAACTTTCGCGTTTGCCTCCATGCGCTCCGGATGTGGACGCTATCTTGGATACATTAAACTTGAAAACGTCCGCCGACGTTTTCAAGTTTAGCGATGCGCAGAAGGGATGCGCGCGCGCTGGCACTGCTCCTTTAATAGAATCATTAGAATATCTTAATTTAACTTTTATACCATCGTGATTTGAACTGATTTTAATTTTTTGCTGACGTATTATCATTATTATGTAAATGATGTAATTTAATTATTTAAATTGCGTTGTCATTGTGTGTGTGATAAATGATATTAAATGAATTATTTATTGCAATACAGAATACAATTCACAAAGTCAAAATGTCAAATGTGGCATTTTAATAAAGGAACATTTTAAATGCCGAACTTTTGCATGAATGTAAGCAAATAAAACCAAATATT